ATCAATATTTCACTTTCTTCTCTGTTTTCTAATGGTTTGGTTCAAATGCTGGCGGCAGAAAAAAAAATTAAACAAGTCACCGACTGTTGTGTGATTTCTTAACAGGCTAAGGAAATGAAACGGAGTTTTTATTTACTTTCTCCACATGCAGACTATTCCAGTCCGATCCGTGTAAGAAATACTTCCTACCCTTGAGGGACTGTTCTCTTCTCACAGCAGAAGCACCCACAGAAAGCGTGCTGTGTTTCTGTGTCAGGGAAAGAACACATGAAGGCATATTCCTGATCCACTCTTGTCAGGCGCTTACACTCTAGCGAGAGAAATGAGATTCAGAAAACTAACATGAATAGAGCAGCAGAGTAGTGTGGACTGGATGAGGTCAGGGTTGACTTGGAGGGAAAGCAGAACCCCACGTGGCGGCGGAGCAGGTCCTGGGTAAGATGGAGCTGAGCAGGCACTTGAACAACTTGTGATCCAGTTGCCTTAAGGATTAGAAAACAACTTTCTGTACATCTGCTATTCAAATGTCATCACATAGCCACCTTTTTTTTTTTTTAGGACTTTTTTTTCCACTGGGAAGTCCTATTTACAAAGAGAAGGAGAGATAGAGAAGATCTTCCTTCCACTAATTCACTCCCCAGGTGGCCACAACGGCCAAAGAGCTGAGCTGATCCAAACCCAGGAGCCAGAGGCATCTTCCAGGTCTCCCACATCAGTGCAGGGTCGCAAGGCTTTGGGCCATCTTCTACTGCTTTCCCAGGTCATAAATAGGGAGCTGGATGGGAAATGGGACTGCTGGAACACAAACTAGCACCCATATGGGATCCCAGCACACGCAAGACAAGGACTTTATCAGCTAGGCTACCATGCTGGGCCCCACTTAGCCACCTTTTAATAGTCATTCAGTAGCATCATTTTCTCCATGATTTTCTTTCCTGAATAAAAAGTTCCCAAAGTTTGGGAACGTTCATTATTATCCTAAGGTTATTTTTGTCTAGAAAGACAGCAGGAGGAAGGGGAAGAGGGGAGGGAGAGCAGGCAGGTAGGAAAGGTGACCTGTCACTCTTTGCCTGAATGTGTCCTGAGGAGTTAGAAGAGCTCATTGGCAAGTGGCCTAAGAGGCTAAGCCAGGGAAGCACAGAATGGAGCTGAAGCCTGGAGATTCCTGAGGACACGCACACAGGGGGCTTTTAGAGCAGGACTCCACGCACTCTGCGTGTACAAAGTCAGAGCCGAGATTGGGTTTGCAGGCCACGTCGGGTCACTCCTGCAACCGTTCACACCGCTTTTGTAATATGAATGCAGCCATGGGAGATACAAGCAGTGCACGCAGTCATGTCCCATTAAAACATTATTTGCACAAAGAGGAAGAGGCCATACTTTGCCAGCCTCTCCTGGAAGAAAATATTAAAAAGAAAGGGGCATCTTAAATGCCACTCTGAAGAAGTTTTTTTTTTTACTTCTTCAGTGACAGAGAATTTCAAAGACTTTCCATTTTGATTTCCCTGGAGAAGCTAGCTCAAGGAGCTAACATGCCCCTGTTGTCATCACTTTTCAACCAAGTCTTCATGAAACGTTGCCAGGAGAACTAAGCAGTGGCCTCAGGCAGATACTGAAAAAATCATGTGGTAAGAATTGTTCCCCCGTGCTGTTTGTGTGAGTTTGTGTGCCTTAAGTCAATAGGACTGGGAGGCAGCTCACAGTGCCTGCTTGTAGGACATAGGAGCAGGGGCAACACAGAGGGTTCCACAGGTGAGAGAGCAAATAGGACAGGCCAGGACAGCATGGGGGAGGAAAGGTGTGTAGGTCCATACAATTTGACTAAGCTCATTTGCAAGACCTGTGCCTTGTAGCTTAGATTGTAGCCCTGAGAAAACCAGCAGACTAGTCCATTGGCTAATGTATTGACTGCTCCATTTCTGATCCAGCTCCCTGCTAATGGCCTGAGAAAAAGCAGCAGAAAAGTGGCCCAGGTGTTTGGGACCCTGCTACCCAAATGGGGGACCCAAGATGATGCTCCAGGCTCCTTCCTTTGGCCTGGTTCAGCCCTGGCCCTTGCAGCCATTTGCAGAGTGAACAAGTGGGTGGAAGAAAGCTCTCTCCATCTCTGTCTCTCTCCCTTTCTCTATGCGACTCTGCTCCCAATTAAATGCACAAATCTTTGTAAAAGATTGGTGTAATCAAATATAATTCAATCTTTGGGACATACCCTACTAAAAATTATTTGTTATCTGAAATTTGAACTTCACTGAGCATCCTGAATTTTATTGGCAGTGCTAAGAATGAAGACAGATGACTCTTTTTTTCACACTGTATATTGCATCGTTATGTTAGTTGATTAAATTATACTTCACCGGGGTTCTCCTTTTTTAAAAAAAAGAAGATTGTAGGAATTTAATGACAGTTCAATCTCATTAATCCAAGCCCCTCTGATTTAGAATTTTGATTATTTATGCAAAGGGCCACGCTAAAGTGCACTTTATTCTCTCCGTGAATTCAGTAAGCCTATTTGTCACTGATAGCAGAAACAAAACTGAAAGGGAACTATTTATCTCCTAGGGAGACTACAAGTAGTGCAATTACAATGTAATCAGAGGCGATCGTTATTTAGGCTGTGCTTTTCATCTAATAATTATAGATCATTCTCAGCCATTCGTTAAGAGAAGACAAGATGCTAACAGAGTTAGAGACAGTCCTGTCAGCTCCCATGGCCCTTTTGTGTCCCTGCTGCAGCACTTGGACACATTGCTTGCCTGTCCTGCCTGCCCCGGGAGACGGTGTATACTGGCCCAGCTCTCCTGACCCATCATGTCGGTTCTGTTCATCCCTCAGTGCTCCCCACTTGGAAGGCACACTCTGTTTACTAGTTGAATTAATGAATGAATGCTATCTGCATATGTTAAAATAATCAAGCTGTCTTTGTTTCTAAAAGTCTTCCATTCTTAATTTTAGAAATAATTTGAGCTGATCCTCCCCCTTGTACCAAGTTTTAGTCCTAAAAGTTACTAAAGTTAGTTTTCTTGCATAATGGTTGTTGGAGACACTGAAAATGTGTCTCTCAGCTTGCAGATGCGCTTTCTGAGGAAGAAGGAAAGGGTTTCAGGTCACGGCGCTAAGAGCCCATCTGTGAGCTGCCTTTGGGCTGGGCTTAGTGAGATGAGCAGTCTTTTCTGCCTGCACAACTGAGCATGCTCGTGTGTGTGCGCATATGTGCACGTGTGTGTGTGTGCTGGTATATAAGTGCACAGCCATGTGACACCTGACAGCGCATTCAACAGAGCACATATCTCACGATGGCCCCATGGGAGTAGAACACAGCCTCTTTGTACAGTGACCCATCCATGCGGGTTTGTATAGGGACACACCACGAAGTTCCCACGGGATGAAATCACCTACCAACAACTTTCTTAGGGTATATGCCTTAGCATTAAGTGATGTGTGACTGTAAATGTGTGCACACACACAAACACACATGCACGCCTACACACACTTATATAGATACCAAAATATCTTCCAACGGCATCGAAGGGGATTTCATTTTTTAAAAAGATTTAATTATTTTTTATTGATAGTCACAGTTACAGAAACAGGAGATCTTTGGGAAACTGGTTCACTCCCCAAATGGCTGCAACAGCCAGAGCTGAGCTGATCTAAAGCCAGGAACGTCCTCTGGGTCTTCCACATGGGTGCAGGGGCCCAAGGCCTCGGGTACCCTCTGCTGCCTTCCAAGGCCATCAACAGGGAGCTGGATAGGAAGTGGAGCAGCCGGAACTCAAAGTGGCACCCTTATGGGCTACCTCCACCACAGTCAGAAGATTAGCTCACTAAGCTATTGTGCCAACCTGAAAGGGGATTATTTTGCTTGGCTAAGATATCAGCAATGAAGAAGATATTAATGACTTGCAAGCAAGTATATGCACATGTTCAAAGCAACCTGTGTCTTGTTATGAGATCACTGCCCATAAGCCATCAGTAAGAGCCTCGGAACCACCAGTGAATTCTGGAACATTCTGAGGGAGTTTAAGCAAGAGTGGTACAGATGCAGAAAGGGAAATGCCAGGATTTCTATCGTTCAGTCCTTTTTATAAGATTTATTTATTTGGGCCCGGCGCGGTGGCGCAAGTGGTTAAGTCCTCACCTTGCACGCCCGGGATCCCATATGGGCGCCGGTTCTAATCCCGGCAGCCCCGCTTCCCTTCCAGCTCCCTGCCTGTGGCCTGGGAAGGCAGTTGAGGACGGCCCAAAGCTTTGGGACCCTGCACCCGCGTGGGAGACCTGGAAGAGGCTCCTGGCTTCGGATCGGCATAGTATCGACCCGTTGCGGCTCACTTGGGGAGTGAATCATCGGATGGAAGATCTTCCTCTCTGTCTCTTCTCTCTGTATATCCGCCTTTCCAATAAAAAAATAATAAAAAAATAAATAAATAAATAAATAAATCTTTAAAAAAAGATTTATTTATTTGAGAGAAAGATCTCCTTTGGTTCACTCCCCCCAAGTAGCTTCAGTGGAAGCCAAGAGCCAGGAGCTTCATCTGGGTCTCTCACTTGGGACATCTCCACTGCTTTCCCAGGAGCATTAGCAGAGAGCTGGATTGAAAGTAGAGCAGCTAGGACTCGGACCAGCAGCCATATGGGATACCAGCACTGCAGGCAGTGGCTTTAACCCACTTCTCCACAGTACTGGCTTTTGATTCATCTTGATTAGAGGAAGTATGTTCCCAGCGACCACCTGTAGCATTTTGCTTCTGTTCCCTCCAGCAAAAAAAAGAATTCATGGGAATTCAGAATTGGGGATTAACTCTCCTTCTCCCTCTTCCTAACCTTACTGTATGACTGAAGTATCTTTCCTAGCCACTCCTGAGACTCCGCGAGATTTTCACAAACACGTGGCAGGGCTGGCACAGAGCCGGGCGTGCGTGCAACGTCTCCGATGTGGTCCCCTGTTTGAAGAGCGGTGAGTTATGGTCCCATCAGCCTTTTTGTTCTCTCTTCTCTTACAGCACCCTGGAGGGGTATTACGTGGATGACGCCCTGCAGGGCCAGGGAGTTTACACGTATGAGGACGGAGGAGTTCTGCAGGGCACTTACGTGGATGGGGAGCTGAACGGCCCGGCCCAGGAGTATGACACGGATGGGAGGCTCATCTTCAAGGGGCAGTACAAGGACAACATTCGGCATGGAGTGTGTTGGATCTACTACCCAGTAAGTCTTGTGGTGGGCCACCTGGCTGCAAGTGGCATGCTTCAAGAAAAGAATCTGACTTCTGCTAGCAGAAAGTGAAATCCATTGTCCGGGTTAGAACTAGGGAAGCTGTAGAAACCCAAAGTCCTGAGAGCTGAGGCTGTGTGTGTGTGCGTGTGTGTGTGTGTGTGTGTGAGAGAGAGAGAGAGAGAGAGAGATTGAAGTGTCACTCTCTCTGTCATCCATTGTCGACTTAGATCCTTAGGGGCTACTCCTAATTCTTGTTCAGCATTGTTTTCTAAAAGAATGCTTTCTTCACGGATAGAATAAGTTAGTTTTATCATACCATGGATAAAGTTTTTTAAAAATTGCAGTGCTTTCCATTACCTGGCAGGCAAGAAGAGATGAAGGAATATTTCATTGCTGCTAGGAATTTTAGTCTGTGTTTCTTAGATGTAAAAATGAACCCAGCAGTTTCCAGTCTTTTCATTTATTATACTGCTGCTGCTTGATTTTGCAATCTCACTCAATGCTTTTTAAGGTGCTTTTTGGTTGATAGAGATTAAATTGCGGTGATTAAAATGAACTTGCCTCTGAGTGTTTGATAGCAGTTTATGATATTTATGGAATTAATTAGAGCAAAAACAAGACATGGGAAATCTCGAGGGTGGGCACCAATGCGCTCATTTTTGTTTGCATTTCAACTATCCTATCTGTTGTTAGGGAAGTTCTAGAAAATGTTTCAGAAAAATCCAACTTAGAAGACATTATACTGAATATTTTATTCCATCTAGAAGTTAAGTCAAAAGTACATTTTTGCATTTCGCATTACTCTGCACCTTCTCAGCTTGCAATTTTAAAATTTTAATAAAAACAAATTATTTGTTATGTGATCCACAAGATCAGCATAAATCTTGCTCTAGAAAAGAACAGTGTTCGAAGAATTGAGAAAGCATTTTCGGGTGGTCTTGGTGGGATGTGGGATGGATCAAAAGTCGCCGCAGATCCTACCTGGGAGGTGGCAAGCAGCAGAGGAAGGAATGGTTCTCACGGAAGCCGTGGCTGTGCAGGTGCCAGGCTAAGCACGAGGCCGCCAGCTCTTGGGGGCGGCTGAATGTCAGGAAAGAACAAACCATGAGCAGCCAGTTTCAACTGGGTGAGACCTAGCATGCCCTGATTTAGCTGAGAAATTCCACCTGAAAATGCAGCTATATATTTTTACATTACTTAATTATTTAAAATAATAATTAATAATAATCTGGAGCTAGCGCAATGGCTCAACTGGCTAATCTTCCAGCTCCAAGAGCAGCATTTTATATAGGCGCCAATTCGTGTCCCACCTGCTCCACTTCCCATCCAGCTCCCAGCTGGTGGCCTGGGAAAGCAGTGGAGGATGGCCCAAGTGCTTGGAACTTTGCACCTGTGTGGAAGACGAGGAAGAAGCTCCTGGCTCCTGGCTTCAGATAAGCTCAGCTCCAACTGTTGCGGCCATTTGGGAAGTGAGCCAGCAAATGGAAAATCCTCCTGTCACTTCTTCTACTTCTTCTCTCTGTAAATCTGCCTTTCCATTAAACAAATAAATAAAAAATAATATTAATTTATGTTCAGTGTGTTTGAAAGGCAAACAAGCCCTAGTGCACACACACAGAGCGAGTTTCTATCTGTGAACAACCAGAGCTAGACAAGGTTGAAGCCAGGAGCTGGCAGCTCAGTGTTTCCCACCAGGTGGTGGAGACTTAAGTACTTGAGCCTTCACCTACTGCCTCCCATGGTGTGCATTAGCAGGAAGTCAGAAGTGCTGAGTAGCCAGGTCTCAAATCAGCCACTCTGACAAGAGGTAACTTAGCCTCTGCACCAACCACCCTCCTGCCACACCCCCCGGTAATCTTCATTTTTATTTTATTAATACAAGAGAAGACTGCTTTGGGTGGGCGACTTGGAGGAGTCCCAGGCTTTGCTTTGTTTAGTCACACTTGCTTCACGGCTGGTGCCCGTCAGCACCTCAGGGAGATGACCCCACCCCCTTGCACTCTGGCCTCTGAATAAAGTGAAGAATACTGGATGCTGGTGCCAGAGATCAAGCTGTCCATTTTATGATGGCAGTGTTGGCTGAGAGACACAGCGTGGGGCTGAAGCCAAAGCAGGCTGCTGCCCTTTCTCCTCTGACCTGAATAGACACACCAACAGTAGACAGAGTTCCTAGACAGCTGCAGGTTCCCTCTGGGCAAAGGGACCCGACTAACATAGCTCTCCAAGATGAGGGCAGAGATGCAGAGGTGTGCCAGGGGTGCAGGTGCTGCTGAGCCCAGGGCCCAGGAGAGTATGAAAGGAAAATGAGCTGGGCATGAGGCAGCAGCCATCATCCTTTATCCAGCAGCCAACCAGCAGGACAGGGATCAGCAGATCCTGCCTTCTCACCAACCCAATGAAAGTACCAGAAAGCATGTGCTTCCTCCCTAACACTCCCAGCTCCTGCAGGCTCTCATAGTACTGTGATGTGGACACAAAGCAAGAACCAGGCAAAGTGGGGGGTGGGATGATCTCCCTACAGAATTTATCAGCTCACTCTAAGGAGAGGTTGCTTCTTTTACAAAGGAAACTGTGATATAAACTCCTTTGTCAATAATTCATAACCCCTTTGGGAAATGAAAGATTTCTGCTTTCTTTTTTGTGGATAAAGAATGCACTTCCTTAAAACCAGAAGTGCAAGAGGCCAAGTGTGAAGCCCTAGTAAGACACACTCATGTTTTAGGCATACAATGTGAGCTGATGGCTTACTTACAGTAACCATGGCACCTGAGAAGCACGCAGTGCCAGATCACTCCAGCTCAGTAAGCAACACTAGAAGCCTGAAGGCAGATCGTGCAGAGTATCATCTTCGTTTCTGCAGGGTTATTAAGGATTAACTTAGGAGAAAGCCATGAGCATATTCCTGATGCCTTTGTCATCAATGAAAAATGCAACTGTTTTCCTTTCTATGGAAGTGCTGTGATGCCTAAAAAAATTATAATCTTTTTTTCCTCCAAAAGGCAATTGGAGTTATGGTGAACTGTAGAAATCATTAAATTTATATTATTATTATTATTATTATTATTATTATTATTATTATCTGAGAGATTTACGGAGAAAAGGAGAGACAGAGAGAGAGCTCTTCCATCTGCTAGTTCACTCCCCACAAAAGGTGAGCTGACCTGAAGCCAGAAGCTTCCTCTGGGTCTCCCCCAAGGGTGCAGGGTCCCAAGGACTTGAGCCATCCTGTGCTTGTAAGCAGGGAGCTGGATGGGAAGTGGAGCAGGCAGGAAATAAACCATTGCCCCTATAAGATGCTGGCCCCAAAAGGAAGAGAACTAACCTAACTGGCTCCAGAAATCATGAACTTGATATGGTTTATTCCTACTATCCCTGAAAAGTAGCTTTTGAGAGCCCTCCAAAGTCATCCTCCATGACTTTGAGTTGCTACTAACTATTTCTAGGTCCTTTGGGGAAATTAATTAATTAATGAAGCTTTTAGAAGATGTGGTTGCATCACTGTAGTTGGATCAAATTTTCGAAGTTTTAAAATTTCAAAGTTACAGAGTAAGGACCTTCGGAATAGGGGTATGGGTGGAGAAAAGAAACGTCTCTGGCATCACACATTATTTTTTTCTCATCCCATTTCAATTCAAAAAGTATTTATGGAGCACCTGCTGTGTCCCTGGCTCTGGCCAGGATTCAGAAGTTCCTGGGAGCCTCTGTTCTACAACACTCTCAGACTCTTAGCAATGAAATGCACAAGAGTTAAAATTACAGCAAAGCTGGCTCCTCTCCCAGAAGGGGCAAAAGGCAGAAGAGTGCAAAGAAGGAAGTGATGTGAAAGGGAGTCGAATTCTTTTTTTCTACCTTTCCTTTCAATTCCGAAAAGGCTGATCTTAGAAAGGCAGTGTCCCAGGTTCTTTAGGCTGTCTTAGATATGCAGGCATCTCTGTCTTCCTGTGTATGCAGTTAATTCGCCAGTACTGTTTAACCCAAAGTTATCCTTAGTAGACGACAAATCAGAAACAGCCTTGAGAAGCAGATCTCCTGCTGCAGATCCTTACCCGCTTAGGTACTGGGTGAAAGTTATACTTCGCAACTGGAAGTACAAATGTAGTCTCTCTGTTTCTTTTGTAACAGACTGACAAGATAGAGGATCAATAGGTGGTTCAGAATCACAAAGCACAATTTGTCTCTTCTTCTCCAAATCAGGTGCACTTGCCCCTGTGTCTAGAACTTTCCAGCAGCATGCGTCAAGGTTTGGGGTGGACAAAGAAGTGGATCAGGAAGTATGTTTCATTTGGGTCTGTAGCAAGAGAATCGTGCCCACTAGCATTTGCTCTCAATTCATGTTGTCTTGGGTTTCTCACATGAAGTGTTCTTAGTCCTTAACAATGATTACTCCTGCAGATCATACTAACAAAGGGAGGGCAGAAAGGAAGCATCTTGGATTCGTGTCCATAAAGAAACCCAGAACATAATGCTATCTGCCTTTTGGCTTCTCCCATCAGGACGGAGGCAGCCTTGTAGGAGAAGTCAATGAAGATGGGGAGATGACTGGCGAGAAGATCGCCTATGTGTACCCTGATGAGAGGACCGCACTTTATGGGAAGTTCATTGATGGTGAGATGATCGAAGGGAAGCTGGCCACGCTTATGTCCACGGAGGAGGGGAGGCCTCACTTTGAACTGATGCCCGGAAGTAAGTGCACTCTGCCCTCACGGTTCATTCTGATTCCAGAGTGGGGAGCCAGCACTTGAGGGGGTGGTTCTTCTCAGTGTGCTTTGCTTGAACATTGGGGTGCTCGGGCCTTGATACATCGCAGAGGTCTACAGCAGCACACACGGATTTGGCTGAACTTGAAGCTGGTGGCTGGGTGTGTACCTGCTCTGGTGCTCCTGCTGATGGTTCTGGGGCCTTCTCTGAAAGGATAGTATGGACTTGGGACAGGACTTCTCGGAGTGGGTCCCGCGAGAGTCAGACCCAAAGCTGACACCTGTGATGCCTTCTAAAGCCTCACTGTGGAGCTGACACTTCCGCCCACTGTCTGTGGGTCTGAGCAAGTCCAGTGGCCAACCAAGCTGAACGATAGTGAGACAGGGCCAGTCGGTACCCCAGCACCTCAGTAGGGCATGTTGAAAAGTCATATGAAAAAGGGCACAGATAAATAATTCTACATAATTCTGGGAGAGGATAAATTAAATTACCTAATCAGCAGTGATACTCCGATCAATATCAAATGGTTCTCAAAAAACCCTAAACTATGGTCTGATAATACCGAAGAATTCAACCGGATAAGTCTCCAAATTGAAACCAGCTGCAAAGTTGATTCAGCTGTAATTCGCCTGGAAAAAACACAGACATGTTCACACCCCCGCCCTCTTCAGAAGGTCATGTGTGGAGCTCACACTAAATATACACACAGACCCAACTGACTGTATTGGGGCAAAAAGTCTCATTTCCTTTCAAAAGCACAACATGGCACAGGAAAGCATTTCTCTGAATATAATGACTTGCCATCAAAAATCAGGAAAAAGAAATCAACAAAACATTTACATTCTTGAGTAGCATAGCCTAGGAAAGCTGTATGAATGGGTCTGACTCCTTTAAAACCATGTGTTTCTTTTTTTTTAACGAAGATTTATTTATTTATTAAAAAGTCAGATATGCAGAGAGGAGGAGAGACAGAGAGGAAGATCTTCCATCCGATGATTCATCCCCCAAGTGAACGCAACAGCCGATGCTATGCCAATCCAAAGCCAGGAGCCAGGAACTACTTCCAGGTATCTCACATCACACGGGTGCAGAGTCCCAAGGCTTTGGGCCATCCTCGAGTGCTTTCCCAGGCTACCAGCAGGGAGCTGGATGGGAAGTGGAGCTGCCAGGATATTAGAACCGGCACCCATATGAGATCCTGGGCGCGGTCAAGGAGAGGACTTTAGTTGCTAGGCCACGCTGTCAGGCCCATGTATTTCTGACCCAGATTAGATCATGGGACTGGGGAAGTAAAAACAGTAAAAATTTATCATCTTGTAGACTTAAATAATATTTTGCAACTTGGAATCCAAAGGAGAATATCCAAGTGAAGAATCTCCTAAAACAGAAGAGCTGGCATTGTGTTTAAGTGGAATTTCAGTGGCTTAAAATGTCTCAGTCTTTTTTTTTTCTCCCTAAGTTAGAAATTCAGGCATTCCAAATGCAATGTAAGTTTCTGGATTGGATCCTGGCACAGAAACAAGGAAGTTAGTGTGAAAATCAGTGAAATCTGAACGAAGTCTGGAGTTCATAGTAATATATCCATGTTGCTTTCTTAATTTTGACAAATGTACCAGGAAGAACTTAATGCTAGGCAAGACAGCAGGGACTCTCTGTTCTATCTTTGCAACTTTGCTGTGTTTTTAAAATTATTCCAAGATGAAAAGCTTCTTTTATTAAAAAAAAAGGGGGGGGGGCGTGGAAGCCATAATCTTTGAACCACAGATTCTAGGATCTGTGTTCCTGACATACATTATGAAAAAGACAGGGTTGCAGTGTTTAAGAGACAAGGTGACTTCGGACGAGGGGGACCACAGCTGGTGATCCCAATTTTAATGCTTCAGAGGTGACAGCATTGCTAGCGCAGAGAGCCTGAGCCTGGGAGGAACTTAGCGCTCCAACGCTGACTGTGTTAAGGCCTGGAGCAAGTTATCTGTCATTTCAGAGCCCTTTTTTCTTCATGATGAAATAAAGATATAAGCACCTCCCACAAAACCCCATCATGAAATGTATCCCTGTGATGGTGTTCTTCCCCATGTAAATAAGAAAGTAAGATTTTTGAGGGTGATTACTTCTCAAGGGAATGACTGCTTTTCTTAACAACTCACGGCTGCCAACAGCAAACACCCTCTTCACAGTAATGGGAGGCGACAAAGAGCGCTGTTGGCTGCACTCCAGCAGGCCATGGTCATTTTAAGGAAGTTGCACAGTTCGACATCAAAAGGGTTCCGCGCCACATTGCTTTGGGTAAACCTGAAGTAGCAGGTGCAGGACTAGTTCCCACTGAGCAGCCAGGGACTGAGGGTGCCTCGGTAGTCCTGTGCCCGTGAGGGGCGCTGCACTGCAGAGCCGGGGAGACTGTGACGAACTCCCATAAAGCATGCCCCATTCGGCCCCTCTCCTCCCACCAACCTTTTCTCTTTGTGCTTGTTGAACCGCAAGCTGCGTCTAGTCCTCCACTGATTCTCTCACTGAAGCGTAAGAGTGCAATTTCATCTCACCTCTTCACTGGCCAAGGCGCAGCTGGAACATGGAGTCCGCACAGCATTCTGGTTGTGAAAAGGTTTTAGAAAAGCAAATGAAATGGACCACGGGCTCTTCTGTTAGCGAGTTACTCTTTACATCCGGGTCTTAAATCTGTTCCCGGCTCTGCCTCTGGCGCCCCCTACGGGCAGCTCGTCTCAGGCTCCCATGTGCCTGCTTCTGCCTGGAATTTGGCCTCATGGTGACCCATGGTTCTCCTACAAAGAGGGGAAAGGGAGACGCTCCCTTGGTGTCAGGCAGTCTCTTCCACAGTGGCCCTGTCACCTCAGGGCTTCCATTTTCCACCAGGAAGGTACACCCCAACTTCAGCCGCACCAGCTCTGGAACCCCCCAGGACACAACGTCTTCTCTCTGGTCCTTGCCTTAGGGTGGCCACTTGCGGCTCTGGCAAATTCCCGTGGGATTCGTCGGCTCCTCTGCTCCCTCTGTAGCCCAACCAGATTCTGTGTTTTGAAATATGTGGACTGTTACCTAGCTAGGAAGTGGTAAGCACTGAGGGACATGACAGGGATTCTCAGCGCTGCTACAGGGAATGCGGCAAACGATGGACTTAGCAGAGGGGAACCTTCTGGCTGCCAAGCTTGTTTCTCGCTTTGTTAGCCTTCAGAGCACCAGATGTCTTCCGTGGCGTTCCATGAGGGTTCTCAAAGGCTAGTGCCTTGAGGAGAGCCAACGGCAACCCGAAAATGGCTGCGTGCTTCAGGTTCCGGAGTAAATTACCGAGTGGTTCCTGTGCCACCTTCGTAGAAGAGAGGGCTTTGTTACTGCATTGTCTGAGCAGCATCCTTCTCCTTGGCTCTGCTGAGGTGGAAAGTCTGTTCTCTGGGTGGGGGACATCTGTCCGGCTCAGCTGTTCGATTCTCCGGACTGTGTTTCACTTAAAGGGAAACAAGAAGAACACAAAACCGTAACCCCATTTGATCTGATCAGAGAGAGATCTCAGAATTCCACGATAAACGTTCTTCTTGATTCAGAATTGTAAGTGCCCAAGCTTCTTTCAGATTAGTTGAACAAAAGATAATTGAAAAAACAAATCGAGATTTTAAGAGATACAGCTGATGGCTGTCCATTCAATTCTAAAGATAAACCTGAAGAACGACTCTAAAAACCATTCACTGGAGTTGAAGAATTTCATTCTGCTTGGTGTAACCTGAATAACAGTTTTCATTCCTTTGTTTGGTCTGAGGCCACATTGCACACTTGCGCTGATGTTTCCGTTTGTTTTCAGACTCTGTGTACCACTTCGACAAGTCGACTTCGTCCTGCATCTCCACCGACGCGCTGCTCCCAGACCCTTACGAATCAGAGAGGTACTCTCCTCCTTGCAGCTGTCACGGTTTATGTGAGGTGCAACGGCCCTGCGAGGGGGAATGAGTGCTCCTCTGGGCCTCCACTGCTCACACCTCACTCCTCCAGGACGTGGATGCTCCCTTTGCAAGTCCTCCAAATACAGTCACACAACCCAGGGAGTGTTTTTGTTTTCATACAGAATTGTTCGCTGTAGAAGGACTTCTCTACCTATTCAGCTACAGCCTTGCCTATGCGTCAATCCCAGGAGGAAAGCCCGGCTAAGCCCTGGCCGGCCCTGCCCATGCGTCCTATGATGTGGGTCAGGGTTAATTTGTCACTCTAGGTCCTTGCATCCCACAGAGATAAGGGGTCCAGGTGCAGACACATATAAGGTGCAAGAAGTGATAATAAAATCTGTCCCCAAGGCAAGAATGTGAACACACTGGGTGATGGGCCAAAAGCTAGGCAGAAAGGAGGTGGGATATAGAAGGGGGCACTGAGAAAGTGCCTGGCAGCAGCTCCAACCATGGTCTGCAGCAAAAGAGAGAGAGAGAGAGAGTTGATGGTCTCCTTTATGAAACCATCTGGCGACTGTATGGCCCCTCCTCAAGTTCCACATGGAGCTGAATGTCTGTATTTTCATGACATCCTCCCTTTAGATTCCAGATGAAGCACATGCATCTTGGGAATGGGGGTATTTTGATTGACAAGGAGGACAGTGATGTTCAGTCCAGTAGACCTAACCAAACTTCCTGCCCATCCTCCATTACCTTTCTTGGAGCTGCAGTTTGTGCCGGAGTCACCTCGGTCCTCCGGGGAGCATGCTGTACTCTCTCAAGTTCTCGCCTGAACGCCCTGAACTCTCCTTATCTTCTGCACCTTTGGAGGGGTCTGGAACACAAGAAAATTCCTTTATCCACCACTCGCAGAGCATCCAGCCCATTCCATCTCCTCTTGTGCCTATGGCACAGCTGAGCTCCCATTACCTGAGAATTTTTTAGGATCTGCTCTGATAGCTAGCAGTGGGTCTGTTTATCAGTAAGAAACCTTCTGAATAAGTTTTCTCTTGCCCATCTGCCTTGGTAATAAACATGTATCATTTCCCCCACCCCCATTCAGTTTCTATAGCCATCTGAGAAGTAGGGCTCTACCCTTTGTTTAACTAACGGGACTGACTTCACAATGTCACAATGAATAAATGGCCTCTTTTTTGGACATGAGACTCTGGCCCAGATACAGCAGAATGTCTGGTCTCTTTGTTAGCCCCAAAACAACACAGTCCATGACTGCAAGAGCCTGTCTCTTCTGCTATTATTGTTGTAATGACGCTGTCCAGCAGTGTCCCGCTAACTCCTGCTGCTTAACAAAAGCAAACCTTTGCTTTTATGCTCCTGGATCTGGGGGTCAGCTGGGGTTCCGTCTCTTTCTACTGGGCCCAACGAGGCCTAGCTGGCCTGGGCTGGACTCCAGGCTTCCAGCTGGTCTCAGATCTGTTTCACATGTCTTTATTCCAAGACTCTGGGGCATGTTCCTCTCCTACAGACAATGGCCACTCTAGCAAGGCATCTGGCAGACACTTGGGCCATGCTTCATTACACCAAAGACACAGCATGCAGTCACTTCCACCGAGTTCCACTAGCAACATGCATCATAGGGTGGGAACAAAGTCAAGATAGCAGGATGCTAACCCCATCCTCTCTGAGGTCATATGGCAAAAGAGGCAGGATGCCCACAGAGTCTTCCACAAGTCCATGTGAAGTACATATAGTGAAAAAGTTATACATGGCTTCCAAAAGCTTGTTGCACCAAAATAAACTTCTCTTTTAATGCTGCTTGCCCACATATTATGTGAAGTTCCTCCTGATAATTCTATCACAGAGCAAGTGGAGAGTTGGAAACAATAATTCAGTTTTCCAGTTCACAAACTAAGCATAGGATTCGTGTAGCAAAAGTTCCTGCAAGGTACTGGGACATATACTTTCTTAGGAAATTCAGTTCCATGTCACAAATGTTGTTTTCTTTTATGAATCAGTGGATTTCCTGGGAAAGGCTGCATTAGTAAATATTTTAGCTGTTTCACGCTATCTAATCTCTAGTCTAGTTACCCCACTCTGCCTTTATAGAACTAAAGCACTCATACACAACATACAACAGATAGGCATGACTATGTTCCAATAAAAATTTTACTTACAAAAAAGCAGCCACAGCTAGGTTTGACCCATCGGGCATAGTTAGCCAAACCCTATTGTGTATACTCTTGTTGGGAATTGCTTATTTCATATAGCTTAATAACTATTGTTGTTTCATGTAAAATATTTGACACTTAACTAAAACAGCTTTTCCCTCCTGTCTGGCCCCAACAAGCTTGAATATTGTCTTAATGAATACAGGAAGGTCCTCTGTTCGCCCACTAAGACACTGAAAATTGTCATTAACTAAAAACCAAGATTCACTTACGTCAAGCACAAGTAGCTTTATGAATATATAATTTCCTTGTCAGCAAATTTTAAACACCACTCTTAAAAGAGACATAACTGCCACTTCTTCCATTTCCAAAGCTAAAATAGTATGGTGTAGCTTTCTCTTCTTTCCTTCCTTCTTCATTGGAGTACAGTGAGCTGACATTTTGAATTCAGTAGCCAAAATGCTATTTGGTGGCTGATGATAAGAGTGACTTATCAAACTTCACAAGTGGTAATTTAACTCCCCTTTTCTGTGTAGGGTTTATGTTGCAGAGTCGCTCATTTCCAGTGCTGGAGAAGGACTGTTTTCAAAGGTGGCTGTGGGCCCCAATACCGCCATGTCTTTCTATAATGGAGTCCGAATTACACACCAAGAGGTAAGTTGGGGAGTGAGTGGAGTGTGCGGGGCGGGGAGCCGACAAGATTGATCGCAGGGCTGTGTGTCAGGTAGCACTGGTTTACTTTCATATTAGCCAGAAATGTTAAGGAACAAGAAGATTAGGATTTTTCATATAAAATGGATTGGATGCTTTTCTCTTGATTTTGAGGTGCAATAGATTTTTTTTTTTCACAAGTTCCATTGCTGTTCTATAGAAAGTGTTATAATGCCATGAATAGAATAGCAACTGCTTTGTACTGGACTGCACCCAGTGCCTGAAAAGACTCAAGATCCAGCCAAGAGTCTGTCAGTAATTAATGCATAACCTTGGGCAGGGGGCTTTATAGGGAAAACCCACACAATAGCCTACGTGGAAACAAAAAGTTAAAGTTACACAAGCTTTGAAATATCTCCAAGACTTTGGGTCTCTGACTTAATTTTGCTTCTTCACCCCACAGTGGACTTTCAGGATCTGTTTAAGGGAAAGGGCAGCTGGTGCAATTCATGAACCTTATCTCACTTTCGACTGTTTGGCACTTAAGCTTGTGGCTGGCCCCACGCATTCATGTCCTCACCCTTCAGACTCCTGTGCAGCCATTAGGTGCAATTGCCCTGGAATGGTCAAGTTATTAGGCATTCAGAGCAATTGCACAACCAAGATAGTGATTTACTGAAACTGGGCTGTGGCCAGGGAGACAGTGTTCCCATGCCAAGGCCGGTGTGCTCTGTCAACAATCCAGAAAGTTCCACAAGTTCAGCCTCTGAAAGTGGCTCTAGGATAATTACAGGTTGCAGAAGTAATGCTCCTTACCCGAAAAGTCTGGGACCACAGGTGTTTCCAATTTCAAAATACTCACATATACATGAGGAAGTGTCTTAGGGGTAGGCCCCAAGTTCCAACATAAAACTCATGTACGCTTGGTACACACCTGCTCACTCAGCCTGAACACTTTACATGTCATCCTTAGTGCGCCCACACTGGAGCTGCAACCTGCCCTGGGTGGCAAGGTGTGGAAGTTTTCCATTTGTGGCATCCTGTTAGCACGACACCATTCTGGATTTGGGAGCATTTCTGATTTAAGGTTCAGGATGCTGAGTCTGTATTGATCTCTCTGAATATTTTACACAAAAGAAACTGGAGCCTAAAGAGGTTAAGCAATTCGGTCAGCACCATAAATCCAGAGAGCCGTGGAGTTCAGGTTTGAAAGAGCAAAATCATGCTCTGAGCAGACACTCCCTCTGCAGCATTAGATAAATGAATAACATTCCCTCCTTGCCCTTGTTAGAAATTTAAATTCTGTGGAGGAGATAAGAAAAATACAAAACTGTCTTGGTCCCTTTTACATTGTTGTAACAGAAGAAAATTTAAAAAATAATAATAAAAAACCAGCCAAGTCTGCAAGGCTCATGATTCTGATGGCTGAAGGGGCTGAAGCAAGGCACCTGCATCCTGGTGAGGGCCTCTGCAGGCTATGGAAAGAGAACCAGCGGTACACAAAAGGCAGGAGCCAGGTTTCCCTATAGCCTCCCAATCTCATCAGAACTAACCTGGTCCTGCAAGAACTACATTCAGCTCTCCCAGGCAGAGGCCACAGTGACCTAATTCATGCCCACTTCTGATGTATTTGTTTATTTATTTGAAAGACAGAGTTAGAGAGTACTGGTTCACTCTTCAAATGGCTGCAACAGCTGAAACTACACCAGAGTGAACCCAGAAAGCAGGAGCTTCATCCAGGACTCCCATGTGGGTGCAGGGGCCCAAAGACTTGAACCATATTCTACTACTTTCCCTGTCTGCATTAGCAGGGAGCTGCATCAGATATGGTACGGTCAGGACTTGAACCGGAACGCATATGGGATATAGTGACACAGGCAGCAGCTTAATTCATATTGCACAACACCAGCCCCTCCTAAAGTCTCTAGCACCTCAACATGCCACTCTTGGCACCAAGCCACCCAGGACATGAACCTTCAGGGAGCTAACACATTCAGATCACAGCAACATCCATTAGGAACATAAAGTGGATTGGGATCAAGTGTCACATCCCAACATCTTATGGCAGGGCTGGAAAAGTAAGATTCAACAAGGAGTTTGTTCAATTTTACCTGCTACTGTGTCAGTGCCTTGGACCTAGAACAATATCTGATGCATGGCGCCTGCTCTTTTCATACCTGATGAGGAAATATCATGAGTAAAGATGCAGTTGCCACGTAGAGGCAGGAGGGTGCATATGCCTGCCAGAATCAGCAGTCGTTTCTGTAATTGTGACCCTGTCAGTTCCATGAGGCTATTGGGCCAGCATGCCCAGGTCCTGGAGGTGCAGGCCAGTAGTGTTTTAGAGAAGGCAAGCCTGATGGTTACGACATAGTCAGGGAGTTCTGTTGTAGTAGGAGAGCACACTGGCCCGCATGGATGACGTGCCCCCCGTTGCATGGACACTGGCTTGGATGGATGACGTGCCCCCGTTGCATGGACACTGGCTTGGATGGATGATGTGCCCCGCCCCCCGTTGCATGGACACTGGCTTGGATGGATGACGTGCTCCCCCATTGCATGGACACTGGCTTGGATGGATGACGTGCCCCCCCCCCCCCCGTTGCATGGACACTGGCTTGGATGGATGACGTGCTCCCCATTACACAAGGTTGAGCACACACTGCCACGCCCTGTGTCTGGTTCCACTGATTTCTTCTTTTGCCACATGTTCTTTGTCCACCATTTTTTGTTTTTGCTTCTACATTTTGTGGGAAGGGGCCACCTCCCTGCCCCTCAGCAGCAGCAGTGGGGATTACTGAAGGAGGCTGGACACATCAGGCATGCTCTTGTCATCTCAGAGGTGTATGGGTGGCTGCAGGATGTGGCTTGGTTGGCCATGATGACAAACTCAGTGTCCAGACAGGGTGGTGGCGGACTCAGAGCAAACCTCTGCTGGTGAGGGCTGCCACCTGTCCGAGCTCCTGAGCCAGGCAATAAGGAGAAAAACAGGGACGTGGCCTTATCACCTTTCAAGTCAACTTAACTGATTATATTTTTGTGTGACATTAGGAGGGGCATTAAATCCTTTTTTCCACATAAAATAAGGAGAAGTCAATCAACAGTAAACTGAGCTGAAAATGCATAAGGGTTTTGTTTTTTGTGGTTTTTTTTTTTACTACTTATTTTATATATTTGTTCTAATGACAGAGTTACAGAGAGAGAGGCAGGGAGAGACAAAGAGAGAGAGATAAATAGCGAGAGAGATCTTCACTCCCCAAATGGTTAGAATGGCTGGGATTGACCAGGCTGAAGCCAGGATCTACAGCTTCTTCCAGATCTCCCACACGGGTGCAGGAACACTTGGGCCATCTTCTGCTGTTCTCCCAGTTGCATTATCAGAGAGAGTGATAGGAAGTGGAACAGCCATGTCTCAAACCAGCATCCACATGTGATGTCAACATTGTAGGCAGATGCTTTACCCACTGCGCCAGAACACCAGCCAGCATTAAGTCTAATCAGGTCTCTGACACTCAGTTGGAAAACATTTAAATCAATATTGCCCATGTTTTTGGACCTCGGAGCAAAAGGACTCCTTGGACACTTGCCATCTGCTTCTCTGTAGGTCGACAACAGGGACTGGGCCCTTAACGGGAACACCCTGTCCCTCGATGAAGAAACGGTCATTGATGTGCCTGAGCCCTATAACCACGTGTCCAAGTACTGTGCTTCCTTGGGACACAAGGCAAATCACTCCTTCACTCCAAACTGCATCTATGATATGTAAGTATGACATCAGCACTGGGGTGGCTGCAGGGCCCTAGGACCCTGACAAGAGGGAGGATGGGGGCGTGGAAAAGAAGTGTCTGGCCCCGGACCATGCCTGCTGCATCAAATCAACTAGAGCCCAGACAGCCCCACTGTGCAGCCTTGGACAGCTAAGAAATGGAAAGCACTTAGATGGGGGGAGATCCTAAGGGCAGCACCGTGCTTGGTGGTTGCTATCTTTCTGGCTGCTATTTTTGTCCTTCAACATTGTCTTGCTGGAAAATTAGGAAGAGTGTTATTGGGAGTTTTGGTGAAACTTCAAGTGGAAGGGATCATGGATGTCTTTATGATGGAAGAAAGAAAATAAAAGTCCAGGGCATGAGTTCTTTGTGTGAGCGGAAACTTGCTAAGTCCAGGTCCTCCTAGTTGATAACAAAACAGAATGATACGTGCTGCAAGGATGGGTAAGAGTGAATCATATTTCACATGGTGAGAGGATCCAGCACAGACAAATGCATGGTGTGTGATTCCACTGACAGGACATGTCCACAACAGGAAGTCTACACAAAGGAGATTTGCAGCTTGCTAACCCTGGAAGGGGGTGATGATGGGTAGGAGTTGCACTTTGGGGTGGTGACACTGCTCTAAAATTACATCGTGGCAATGATGCCATAACTGCTGAATATGTTAATCATTGTGCAACTGCTTCACCAAGGTGAATGCATGGCGTGTGGATAACATCCTAACATCCTATCTTAATTGTATCAATTAAGATAACAATTGTATGGATCATACCCCCTCTTGGAGTCCGAGCTTCCCTCTCCATCTGCTTATTGGATATATGCTTGGAAACCTCCACAGGTTGAGGAGGGGGTTGTTAATATCCACCGAGACAGCTTTCCCAACAAATGAAATAATCAGCATCAGCTCTGACAACTAGCAAGTTCTTTGTACTGAGTCCAAATAGCATGCAGCCCTGGGCACTGTCTCCCTTTCTGTCCTGTACCCTGTGTCAGTTTCTCTTCTACAACATAGCCCTATTAGGAGTCGACTAATTTTCATGTGTTTCCTGAATGTTTGTTCGAAAGCCAACCATCTCTGACTGTTCTAGAAAGGACACAGCTGGGGCTCTGATCCGTCATCATTGCTCTGCTGAGTTTGGCCTGAGAATGCCAGCAATTCACTCCCTGGGAGCTGGTGAGCTGTGTGCGAGCCTCTTTGCTCAGCAGTGGCCTGCAATCCTTCAGTCATCCAACTTGTTAGCCTAGGCAGGACCAGAGCACGGAGGAAAATGGCCAGGATCTGGAGGTTCCTCAAGAATCCTCCTTCCTGCATCTCTGAGATGCCTGACAAATTGCTCTGCCAGTGACTTGCTGTCCTTCACTGCCAATAACTAGCACTGGAGCTGCTTCTTCGATTTAAAGGGCAAAAGACACGTGTCATGGGAAATGAAATTGAGACCATTACTAACTCCAAGGCCTCTCCTGGCCAAAGCGTCATCATCCCAAGCTGTGCACATCTTCACCACAACCTTTTAAAGAAACAGTGACTAAATGTCATTATTGCTGCGTAAGATGCTCCTTTCAAAGCAGCCATTTCTGTGATTTAATTGCAGGGACAGGATCTTCCTCACCAAAATAAAAAAGAGCACGAGAAACAAGAGAAGGTCCCGTTGTGCAAAATCATGTCCCTGTATTCAACAAGCCTTGATTTTGTTGTTTTGTTTATTGCTAAGTTCTGTGTGACCAAATGTTAGTTATTTGAGCTCATAGAAAGACTACTTAAATAACAACCAAATACCGGTTCTTGACACTCACTTCTGAAATAATTAATATTGCTATATATGCTTCAACTTAAAGCGACACTCGAGCAAGCTTTTTTGAGGCTACTTCAGAATGTGCATAGAATTAAAAGATAACTTTGTACATACGGTTTTGAAATCCGTGCTTAGTCTTTTTTTCATAGCTTACATTTTCCATAAACTCTTCAAGATCCCTTCATATATATATGGATTCCAAATATTTTATACCAAAATCCATGTGTCTTTAATTCCACTTTGCATGAACTTTTTGAAGCACCCTTAAAACCATAGTCTCGCACAGAATGTCAAGTGGACAACAAAGGGCTAACATCCCAGCTGTGCGCAGAGGTGGCACGCTGACCCCTAGGCACCGAGTTCTGACTCGGCAGCTAACCGTGCAGCTTGTGTTCACTAAGCACCCCTCCCTGCAGGTGCCCTGTTGACCGCATCATCCCAGTCACTCCTCCCTGGCCTTCATAAAGCCACAGCTCACTTTTTGCAGGTCACAGGCCAAGACACACAGGTCTCGTAGCACTCTGGTTAAGGGCTCTTAACCATTGTTATGCCTCAGGGCCATGTTCAAGAATCTGAAATAGAATTCTTTCTCTGCAGTCTGTCCATTACCTACCTGCTAAAAATAATGGTAAAGAACAAGGAAATGAAAATACCAGGGAATCCTAAGAGTTCCCTCCAGAAATTCAACACAGGGCTATTTTCAGTGTTTCAGAAGGCTACCCTGGAGCTCTGTTTCAGGAGTGTTATTTTTTTTATGCTGTGCTAAAAATATGTTGGAAAGTATGATGCGATATCTTCATTTAAAGACAAGGAGTTGTAATTCTAATCCAGAATTCCTGAATCTCTGGTTCAGGCATCTCCTTGGCAATGGATCACCATCTGGCCTCTCTGAACACCTGCATGTCCACACCCCTGTGTGTGCTCCCACACACAGCATCACACACACCTGCTTCCACAAACACACCCCCTTACACATCTTCACATGTGTTTTCATGCTCATACATATGCATGCTCACATCGATGCTCACACACATTTGCATGGTCACACACCCACACATGTGCAAAGATGTTCACACACATGCAAACACTCACAGAGGTCCCACATATGTGCGTGTATATAAATATGTGCCCACATACCTGTGCTCACACCTTCACACATACAATGGCAAATGCTAGTTGAGTCCCCCTCACTTTGTGCCAGGTGCTGTGGGATACACTTTCTGCTTGTGACCCCATTTTTCACCCTTGAGGCTTGTAGAATAAGGTTTGTCACAGTCTTAGCAATGAGGAAAGTGTGATTCAAGGACAAGGCAGGCTCTCCAAGAGCACAGAGTAATAATGTGGGAGACCAGGGGTCACCCCCACAGCCTTCTGACTCCAAGCTAAGTGGCTTTTTGGGACCAGCTAAGATGGCCCCTCTGGCACAAGATGGAGGATGTTCATTTGCACACCATGTAATAAAAGATGCTCAAAACCAGAGGCACACTCCCAGTCCCACCCCCAAGAGAACCAAACACTTAAGCGCATGCCCTGCCTGCTGGTCTACATTAGGACCCCAGACCTTTCCCCAAGGTGCTGTACCAGCCATCTGGTTCACAAGGTGATTAAGTGAACAAGATGTAGTTGACCAGATGCATATAAAAGCAGAGCTTACTCCCATCTCAGTATCTGGTGGTGAGCTCAGCCTGTTTTTACCTGCCTCTGCTGCAGGGGGCTGTGCAGGTGAACGGGGATAGGTGAACTTTGGCAGCCAAGCAGTCTTGGCATTGACCCCACTTCTAGTTTTGGGCTGCTTTGTTACAGGGATGGGCAGAGAAGTGTTGACCTCCCTGCTGGAAAGCAATCTTCTTGTGTGTTTGTGCTAGAAAATAAGGCATTCTCTCCGTGGCTGAGGGGAAGACAGGTTTTTGTTTTGTTGTTTTGAAGATCCATAGCTGGGATTTTTGGAAAGAAACAGGGATGTTTTCTGTCACTCCCAAAGCTTTGGCAAAGCCTTCTCCCCAAGCTACAGCCAGGTAACCTGACGCCACCATACAGGTTAGCAGGTGCTGCCAGCCACAAGGGCTGAAACACTGATGTGGGCTCTGGCCCTGGATCTGATTTCACATTGAGGATAGGTGTTTGTTGTTGCCCCTGGTTTGACTAAATAGAGGGCAACTGTGCTCAGTAAGGTAGGGCAGTGTTTTGCAAACGTGGGTATGCCAAGGAATCACCAGGGACCAGGGTGGGGGGTTGCTACGATACAGGCTGTCACCCAGCAGGCCTGGGGTAGAGCTCAGGAGCTCCATGCCCCACAGGCTCCTGGGCAAGGCTGCAGCCAGCTGCCCCACTGGCCATGCTTTGCCTCCAGCCCACTGGTTGCCAGGGAGCTAATAGGTGATCATCTTCTGCCTGGAGCCGGCCCGGGAATGACCGTGTGCATCTTCGTGTTTAGGTTTGTCCACCCCCGCTTTGGGCCCATCAAATGCATCCGCACCTTGCGAGCAGTGGAAGCCGACGAGGAGCTCACGGTTGCCTACGGCTATGACCACAGCCCCCCGGGGAAGAGTGGGCCTGAAGCCCCTGAGTGGTACCAGGTGGAGCTAAAGGCTTTCCAAGCTACCCAGCAAAAGTGAAAGGCCTGGCCCTGGGGTCCAGAGACCTGGCACAGAACCTTGGATCTATGCACTACGTTTATTCGACAATGGGACAACCAGGGACTGCTCGTGCTGTTGACATCATATCCTCTCACCCTGCGTTAGCAACGCCGTTCTCGCATACTAACTAGGTTTGACTGTATTACTCATACCAGTTTAAAATTAGCTAGCCTGGCAGCAACCATCCTACTGAGAGGTATTGCGGAGCGCTTGACATACGACAGCATGATGTGCTGTGGTGGTTCAGGTCTAAATCTGTCCCACAGTCAGAGATGCCAAATGATCAGACTGAAAAAAGGGAAATGAGGCTTTTCAGTCGGTCTGAGTCAGGGATTTTTCCGTGATGTTTTCCTGCCCTTCGGCCAATGTGGACTGTGTCGTCACATATGCCTCCGCGCCGTAGGGACAACAGAGCGTAACTACATCTGTGTTCTCTAAATGTAGTATAATCTGCCTTTTAACCTTTGATCTGTATCTTGCAATAGAATGGCTGTTTTTTTTTATTTTTCCCGCCCAGCAAACACTTTTTTGAGTCATTTCACTTCTCAAACCTATTCCCTACCTTAGATACCCTTCCAAATGAATAATACGAGAACGCTTCCAGACAGCCTTTGTGTCTCTTGGAAGTGCGTAGGTCCCTCTGGCTCTTTGCTTCATTATTACACCCTCATATCAAGTGCTGGCTCCTGGGGCTGGCTGTTATTATAGAATTATTATTCTCGCATGTAAACAAAGATATCTTTGCTTTAAGATGTGGGAAGACATGAATTTTACTTTGCTTGCATTAAGTTATGGAAGAGTTGTAATATATACTTTAAGAAAGACGAGAGAAATATTAGCATTTCTAAGCAGTAACTGTGGCAATTTTGCAATATCTTCAATAGTGCTGGTCATTTTTTTTTTCTCCTTGGGGACACATTACATGTACATAACACAGCGCAGTCTGATTTGTAGCACAGTGCATCAAATTTAAAAGTCAACAGCAAATTCTAACACAGAATTAAAAAAAAAAAAAAAAGGTTGGAGTCAATACTATCCAGGCAGACATATTGAGCTCTAGGTACAAATCAAACCTTATTCTTGCTCATCATAATTTCGAAGCTTAACTTGCTTAAAGCATTATGAACTAGGAGTTAACACCTGTATAGTTTCAAGCAGCAGTATCTATAGCCTGCCGACCATCTTTGCCAGCCAGGTGTAATCACAACTGCAGAAATAAGAAAAATCTTTGTTTTTTTAGGTTAGTACCTTAGATGGCTAGCGTGACTGGGATGGCTCTGAGTGAATCTTGAAGGCTGTATGTGTACTAAGCACCACACCGCAGGCTGCCAAGCTAAAGCTGAGCTGTCTTTAGAGGCCTTGCCGGGGGAACAGGAAGGTGTGGGGAACTGCCTGTACTCTCACCCGCAGCTGTCAACAGCTGCACCTGTCACCCTGTGAATTTGGCCTTGAAGGCGAAAGCCTTCCAAGCCAGAGCCCACAATGAACTCCCACTGGTGGTGGATGTCTGGCTGGGGTCCCGGAGCCATCAGGAAACCCCGTGAGGAAAGCTTGTTAGCTCTGATCAGTTAGGCAATGCTCCCAGGGGACAGGACTCTTCCGCTATTTGCAAGGCCAGGTCTCCCGCAGGTTCAGACCCATGCTTGGTAACTAGGTGGAGGGGTTTTCAAGGAGATCCAGTTGTTGTGGATGGCTCACAACACAAGAGGCAGTGGTCAGGACTTCCAGAATGGTCTCCCACAGAAGGAACCGCGTGGAGGTTTTAGGTAAGAAGGCACCAAGCAGGATTGCTTCTACTCTGCAGAAAGGTTTTGGTAAACTGTGACACACAGCCATAGTTTCCAGACTGGGGTTGTAATAGGCGCTTCATTCACATGTGTCTCAGTGAGAGGGACAGGAGGAAGGTAGTCCCAGGCAGGTGGAGGGCTGCAGAGCCGAGTCAGGGAGAGTGGGGTGCAGGCTAGACCTATGACACAGCCTTCGGGGTGTCCATGGTGCCACCCTGCCTGTCTCTGCTGCTCATGGCCACAGTGCAGTATAATTTCTATCCCAGTCGGATAGGCTAATGAACCCTCTAAAATGCAATTAAGACAAAATTCTTGGTGCAAAGGGATTCCAGATTGTTGCGAGTCATGAACTAACTGAGCGACTTCAGATGGGCTCCAAATGCTAGCGTTCAGCTTCCCAAGGGGCAGTGCCTGTGACCCTCAGACAAGAGTGAGGTGAGAAGACGTCCAGGAAGGGCTCACTCTACCTGCCTGCTTCCCCACACTCCTTTGTGCTCTTCTTTCCCCTGGCTTGTCTCCTGTGCTCTGTCTCCCCTCAGGAGGATGCCTTGGTGTCCGTGTGCAACCTCAGCCCCAGCTGAACTCTGCAGGCCAAATTGACTCTGGCTCCTGGAGTCTCCTGCTCCAGCTCGTGCTCGCTCGCTCTTTCTCACTTCCTTGCAGACCTTTCTGTGTGAACCCCCGTGCACTTGCTCCCTACCCCTCTCTGATGTCCCACCCACTCTGCCTGGCCCCCTCTCCTCATACACACTGATTGCCCTGCAGCAAGGCCCTGCAGGGGTGGGCGCCGTGCATGTAGCAAAAGCAGTGGAGGTGGCCGAGGTTTTGGAAGGAAGGAATGGGCTGTTGAGGAAGGAAGGGCTTATTGCTTGTGAAACTGAAGTGTGAGCACGACAACCTGGAAGTGGTGTACTTCCTGCCGGCGGAGGAGGGATTCATGTCAGGAAGTCGCCGCATCCCACTGGTTCCCATGCATCCTGGTGACCCAGCAGTGATGTGCCACACTAGGTGGGTGAGAGACCTAAATAGTCTGTAGCCCTGACAGGGGTTTGTGTGCGATGGGCATCTCCAGGAGATTCACTCAGAGCTGTCTCAGTCCCATCCTGCATGACAGACCTCTCCTTAGCATCTTTTTTTCTAGAACAAGAGACTGTCTTGTGGTAGAGTTAGGGGTCAGTCCCCTAGAGGAGCAAGTCCCCAGCTGGACTCCCGGGCACCGCGGTGGGACTGAATTTCTGACCCATGGGAAGGATGAGAAGGGAAAAGCCCCCCGAGGAGGAGGAGGAGGAGGACTTGGGTGTGGCAGCACCTGGGCTTGTTTACACCTGCTTCACGCCCCAGCAACCTGAGCAACAGGAAGGAAAAGCATGATTCAAGACCTTCCTAAACCTGCCTGGGACTACAGTTAAATCTACTGGTCTCTGGGGTTCTCTATGCTTGAAAAACAATTTCCTTGTCATCACCAATCCCGCCCACCCCCCAAAAAAGGTCAAGTAGGCCACATGAACATTGACAGAGGTTAGTTGTAAGGATTCAGGTCACACTCATTGCAAGCAGAGAGCTTTGGGGTTCTCTTGGGGGAGAAGTACTGGCTCTTGCAGTAGCTTTCATGGAGTGTACAGAAATTCCAACCACTCATCTCAAAGCGCATTTAAAATCTTCCAAGAGGGCAGAGGTACAGTTTTCCATTTAGCTTTGTTTAAAAAACAGTTGCCTCAAGTCTGTCTTAAGAGTAGTGATTTAATAGAATTCTGACATCTTTTGTTTTAGAAAAAGCAAAACTACGTTGCAAGACTGATCGTTGTGATGTTTATTTGCCGCAGATCAAAGGTTTGCAAAATCTACTGAATTTACAACCACTTGAGGTACCTCGATCGATTTTTTTGTTTGATCTTTCCCTTCAGGAATTTGGAGGTTTGTTTTACTTTAAAAATACTAAATTTCGATTTCCTTTTTGCCAAATGTGTGCATACATATATTCGAAGCAATGAAACTCTTTCAAGCCATACAACCACAGGGGCAGAAGCCCTTCTCACAAATTTTACTGTGTTTGTATGTAAATAGATGTTTGTATGAAATATTTTCAAGGTAGAATGAATATATTTAAATGAAGTTGAATTACTCCAGTGCTATTTAAACACATGACACAAATTCCGGTGAGAATTCTGGGAGTCTGTGGAGACACAAATGCAGATCCATTCTGACTTTTAGAAATCTGAAGCCTGCAGCTCACTCTGATCCAGGGCAACCCGGGCTGTGGAGTGAGTTCATGGGCTTCCTCAGTGCCTCCGCCATTTCCTGGTGGTAAGTCAGGTGCTAACGGAGCTGTGTTCACCTTTTAGCCACATCCCTGTGGGCCACCCCTCCCAGGGGCCCCGGAGCGAATCAGAAGCATTGGAGGCCCCAGTGCAGTTCCCCCACTCCCACCCCAACACACTGCCTGAGCACAATTTCTTTGCAGGGCAACAGAATCAGTAGCCAGAATTGACCATGGGAAGCTCGGAGCTGGGCTTCCCAGCCGCCAGCCTGACTGCCTAGACACACACACGTCAAGGAGACCGTGCCTCCTGTGGAGGTGGGGTTCACTCCCTCAAGGCTTTGCCAATGGGCTCAGCCTTCTGTGCAGGACAGGTAGATGGTGGCAATGGCGGTGGCAGCTGGCTAGGGGCCCGTTTCTCAGCATAGCCCATTGCCTGTCCCTGGCTCTGGAACGCGACACACCTGTGCGCACAGCGTCCAAACAGAGACGGCCTTGGGCCCAAAAACCCTTACTTTCTCTGTCTGACTTCGCACACAGCTCTTAAAAGTCATGGTAGGATCAATAGGACATACCTCCCCACTCTCCTGACTCCGATGTTCCAGGGGAGAAAAAAAAAAACTTTCAATGATATTCCACTTGAGGGAGCTTTTTTTTTTTTTCCTTTTTTGTCCCACTTTGCTCCTAGCTATAATGAAATGGCAAATATTATGACAAATTTTCACTGTGTATACTAGCAATATGAACATACGCACCGGTGTATCTTAACATATCAACTGGGTTCTGTTGTGGGTCACAGTCCTGCATCTTGCTTCCTGTGTAGGGAAAGCGCAGGGGCTTGGTCACGCTGGCTAATGGGAGAAAGTCCCGTCTGGGACTGCCAGCTCCCGACTTCACAAGCTTCTCCTCCTGGGTTTCCTGGATTCTCTTTGCATCCGGAAATGCATTTACGAGGTGGTGGGGTATGTTGCAGGAAATAGAAGCCAGGGGGGATGCTTTTAGCTGGATTGCCAGGAAAAGTACACCTGTGACAGTCACGGAGCACCCTTGGTCTTCTGTGGAATTTGAACTAAATCTATGAGCCTTATTCAATATCTCGAATTCTATGATTTTTTAATTATGGGAAATTAATGAGAGATGTTTACATGAATAATGTTTGCCCTTACTGTGTTATGAATGAGTTTTTTGTAGTGTGTCTGGGTGCATGTGCAAGAGAGTAGGAAAAATGTTTCTGAAACAAAACTTG